GTGAGGGTGAGCAGACAGCAGGAGGGAGAGGGCGAGTTCCTGGGGGGGGGGCTTGGCACTTGAGGTATCAGTTCTTTGGCATTCCTTTTGCTGATTGGACAATGATGGGGACAATCTGCAGCATCAGGGATCGATTTACATATATTTACATCTTTGAAAAAGTGACACATGGAAACAGAATAAAAAAGGGGGGAAGAAACAGTGCCTGATTTTGCAGGGGGGGGTTGGTTCTGTGATGGAGCTGGGGTTTAGGGACCTATGCTCAGTTCCTGCCCGGGGGGGGCATGAAGCTGTTCTCCACGCACAGCACGATGAAGCGGTTGGAGCAGCTGCGCGTGTTCTGGCCCAGGAGCCGGCCGCTGAGCAGCGGGGAGGCCTGCCCCGTCACGGCCGTGTCCCCCGCCCGCCACGCCTCGCAGTAGCTGGACGTCGTGCGGATGCCCCCCTCGCTGGAGCCGTGCCACAGCAGCTTCTGAGGCCTGCACACACAGCAGCGACACGGGTTATACCACACCAGCACGACTACGGGGGGGGACAAACAGCTGCCTCTGTTTCACATCTGCTACTCAACACTGATTTTGCCTTTTTTGTGGCGTTTGACATTTTTCTTGGGGGAACAAACTTCCTGGGGTAAGAGCAGCATGAACAGGCCCGTCGAAGCCCATGTGATGCCCTAGGCGAGCTTCACCACCGGCGCCCCCTGTCTGACACAGGGGGAACTTGGCAGTTTGCTGAGCTGGCACCCCCAGCAGATGGTGCCCTAAGCGGCCACCTGTGTCACATAAGGGGCTGACCAGCCCTGAACATGAACTGCATTACCCTCCAAGGAAGGCCTCCAGCATTCACCCATTTGTGCCTTAAGGATCCCTTCCAGTGATTGGATGGGATAGTGCCCCTCGAACCCCAAACCCCGGGCTGGCTCACCAAGACGGGTCTGTCATCACATTCCGTCCATCAAAGGAATAGATGGGGACCTGGGGCTCGAACACGGCGCCGTTTCCAGAAAAGATGGCCATCCAGCTACTGAAGAGCATGTCCCCCTAGGAGCAGAACCACGGGAGAAGGGGGGTGAGGCACACGGAGCCGGCGGCGGGTTCGAATCCCTGCCAGCTGCACGCTCCGCACAACCGGCTAAGAACACAGCTGCTTCCAATCAGCTTTGGCT